TGTGTGCGTATGTATATATATATAAATCATGGTACGATGTATTTATATATTATATAAATATATTGTATCATGATTTTGTGGGAAACAAATGGCTGGATCTCAGTAGAGGTACAAGTTTGATAAGCAACAGCTAAAAAGTAAACTTAAGTAAACAGCCAAAATTAGAACCAGAGCATTCAGAAAACACTTAGTCCTCCCTCAGTGGCGAGCATTTAAAACCCGGAATTAATTTATATATGTACACACTCTTAACCTTCGTTTATATGCATCAAAAACTAGAGTTGTTCTATGCATGTGCAAGAGTATGAAAATCAGCTGCTTCTAATCGGATTTAAATTGGGTATTCAAATCCGTTGAGTATTTCAACTGAACTTTCACACTCTTTAGTGGATGCGTATTTGAACAGCACTGATCATATTACTATGTATTCAACAGCAATAAAACAAATATCAATATGATGCGCTACCATCAATGACAAGCATTTGTAGCGATACAGCACCTGCACAGATACTTTCATATGAATATTATACTGTATATGTAGACTATCTGGTGGTACCAGTTTTGCTTATAAATTGGTTTATATATCATATAGTATTTATTAATAATAAGTGTATGTATATAAATATATTTATTAATAATAACTATAAATATGTATATAAAGAATATATGTAGTAGTTCATATTACTTACATAAACCATCATAAAACTTAATAGCACTAACAGAGTGTTTGTGTCCGATATATGTACGGGTACAATCACCAAATTCTGTCACCCAACATTTCGCATACTGATCAGAGCTCCCTGAATACATAAGCTTGTTAAAAACCTGTATGGAAAAAACAACGACAAAAGCGGTTTTGTTAGGAAATTAATATTGAAAACGACAGACAGATTGCTTTTAAAGTACAATATATTCTTTAACAAAATGACAACGTTATAAATTTTTAATGATTTTCTTTATTGATGATCTCCTTTAAATTACAACAAGTATTATCCGCTATGCTGCAAGTAATTGGTTAGCATTTGGGAATAATTTCAACGAACAGAACGCGAAAACTGACCGAACATGTTTAATAAGCCTTCCACTCAGAGCCCCACCCCATTTCCTAACACAAACCACCGACTATTATTGAATCATATACCGTAATAGAATTAAATTTAAAATTAAATTACTAATCTTTTGACGGCTAAATATATGCTTAAAATGAGTACATTGACCTAGGTTTACTGCTTAAAGCTTATAGGCCTATTATCCGTGTTGAAATATTAACAATTATTCCTATGAATTCCTCAATTATTAAATATTAAACTCCGAGGAAAGACATATCGAAACATTTTAGTTTTAATTTTTAAAAATTTTGATGGTCTATGCGAAGAAGTTTGGAAAAAAGGTGTCTAGTAATTTCAGAGGAAAATATTTCCTCGTTGCAATCTTTAACCATACAAATATGCGTAACTTTTTTTTATAGGCCCCCTACCTTGTTTAGCGAATCCGCCGCTAGCCAAAAATTATGATTTCAAATAAAAATTAAATTAAATTTTGGCTAATTAGCGCACCCGTCACCACGAAAAATGGAAATTTAAGAAAAAAAAAGTTTTTAAATTTTGTTATTACGCCCGCCGCTGCCTTGAAATCTCCAAAAATAAGAATTGCCCATTTCTATTCCTAATTATAGAAATTTTAGAGCACTAATTTTTACTGTACCTGTGCTTAATTAATTCAAATTTATTGTGTATTCTTAAAATAATTTTTGAATATTGTAACCTTTTGAAAATTTTATTCTCATTCAATTTTATGTATTTTTTACTCATGTACTTTTTAAATTTATATATTTATATTCTCTTTGTTTGGTGTTGTTTGGTGTTTTAATCTACTGTACAAATCAATACAATTCAGCTTCTTAAGGAAGTTGCGAATGTGATTTGTAATAAACTTGAACTTCAACTATTTAACCATCCCATCTGGATGTTTTTGGCACAAATATTTGCTATTTTTTTCCGCCCTCCTCTGACGATCCGTAAAAAGTAAGTTTGCAAAAGAAGGTATAAAAAATGTCTCGCCTAATGGTGTGCATTCTTAAAGGCTAAGGTGAGTGTGGTCCACCTGTCAGGGTAGCTAGACCTCCGTCGGGGACATAGGACCCTCGTCAGGAAATCTGGCGACTCCACTGGGAAGAAACACAAAACGTAATTTCAAAGTAAGGTAATGGAATATCAACCACATTTGTATCACACTACATTTAATTATTTAAAAAAATGGTAATTAATGATAATGTATAAACGTTGCTATGGTGACACATGCATTTCTAATCCAATAAGTTATATTCATACTTTTATACGGTTTTGGTAAAAATTTCCATAAGTTTACCAAATTATATTGCAATTAATAAGCTAAAACTGTGAACCGCCCACCACATATAACCCTCATGTAAATGATCTTACGCGCTGAATCAAGAGTAGGCCTAAATCCGGGCACACGCTAGGTTGGCCAACGAATCCAACTCCGCTCCCGTGAGCGCTAGACGACGCGACGCCGTCTGCTGGTTGTCGGTGGCTGTCTGAACGGACAGTCATTAAAAATGATCAGTTGCGCGCGTGTAGTTGGTGTTCTACACCGAATCGCGTCGGCCAACGATTGGTCGGGCGCAGTAAGTGCCCGACGGTTATATCGATGTTTACATTTTGAACAAGAAGACGGATGGATCACCAGAGTATAGGTCAACTTCGGACTAGTAAAAAAATCAACTTTTGAAAATGAAGGGAAAATGATGACTTTGCTAGTTAGCGCTTGCGACGTTGGTGGTCGGCGGGTCCTTCATTTCATAGGCTAATAATAATAATAATAATAAATAATAATAATAATGACGATAATAATAATAATAATAATAATAATAATAATAATGATAATGATAATGATAATGATAATGATAATGATAATAATAATAATAACAATAACAATAACAATAATAATAATAATAATAATAATAATAATAATAATAATAATAATAATAATAATAATAATAATAATAATAATAATAAAGCAGCACCGGATGCCGGCTATTTGAAATATTTTTTTACCAGGAACATCGATTGAAATATACTTTATCAGCAACGGACAAAATCGATCATGTTGATAAGCATAAGCTTGGCAACGATTGTTTAACGACCCAAATTAAGACCCGTATGAAATATAAATTTATACAATTATACAATAGTTACCATGGTGAATACCATTGGTATCAATAACGGATTGTATGATTATAAAGATGTCATTGTAAATTCCAATTCTAATTAGGTCCAGGTCGATAGAATTACCACTGGACATGGCGTGACACGTGTTTCAATATTGGAATAATAGAATACTGACATATAGTGTATAGCGAGTAGCTCCACCACAAAGTGCATTATCAAACGCAAAAATTATATTTCGAACATAGTTATTTATTAAAAACTTTTCACAAATATACAAGTTACCATGGCGAGTACCATGAGTATCAATAACAGACCAGGGGCGGATCCAGAGATGTCCAAAAAGGGGGGGGGGCCGAAATTTGGGCCGATCGAGACAACATTGTCATAGGGGGTCCGGGGGCATGCCCCCGCGAAATTTTTGTGTTCTAGACGCCCGAAAATAACATTTGATGCGTTCTGGGCTATCATTTTTTTCTTTTTCTTTCTTTTTTCTTTTTTTCTTTCTTTTTTCTTTTTTTTATCTCCCAAAAGGGGGGCCGGGGCCGGGCCGGCCCCCTAAATCCACCCCTACAGACTGTATGATTATTAAGATTTCATTGTAATTCCCCTGAACATGATAATGGCGTGACATGTGTTTCAATATTGGAATAGGCCTAACTATAATAATGTAGTGTACAGCGAGTAGCTCTACCATAAAAGATATTATCCAACGCCAAAATTATATTTCGAACATTTTTTCGAAGAATTTACACAAATATACAATAGTCACCATGGTAAAAATGTATAAATAAATATTCATATTACATACGAGGATATATGTCTAAAAATGTAAAAGATTCAAGTTTAAATTAAATCATCAAATGACTTAAATGTACAAAAATCAGAAGCTCAGGCTCCAAAATTTAGCTCGGAAATAAAGCTCGGGTAGAGAGGTTACAAACCCAGAGGAGGACTTATAATTTGCCTCCCTTTTCACCAAGACCAAATGAATGTTGTGTACCGAAAGCACGTAATATTGCTGTTTTGATTTTATCCTTATTAAATTGCTCAGGCTGGCGCTGTGTTAAAGAATAAACTTACAAACAGTGTATTAAAAAAATAAGTCTATACCACCAATGACTTTAAACTGTACCTATCCTGGTCAGTCCTTCTACACCACGTTGAAACATCGTTAGAAGCAGCGTTGGGTCCCGATAATAGTGAGAGACTTGGAAACATTGGGTGCTGAAAGCGCGAGTGAGTTCAGTGGTTTGCGAAAAGTTATCAGAACAATTTTGAAATCCACTTCTCCATAAGTGTTTCAGTTGCTGGACACCAATCTTCTCGGATAATTAAGGTATATCATAGGCCCACCAGTATACATAAATGGCTTAAGTGCATCCACGTTAAAGAATCAAGAACATCTTTGGAAATTACTGGGTACACATATCTTCGGCTGCAAACAAATCTAATAGGCCTACTAATTGTACGTGGAATATAATCAATTCTCTGCTAACCAGGAAACAAAAAAGTAATTAGTAATAATACGTTCACGTCTGATGGCAGACAATTAATTGCAAATGCTTTTAATGAATTTTATAATAAATGGTCGTCTTTCGATGAAGCTATACCCAATATCAACCATACTCATTATTTAAATAATCTAATTAGTGCGTCAATGTACTGCTATCCTACTACCGAAACGGAATGTCATTTCAAAACAATAAATCTGCTGATCTAGATGAGTTTAACCAAGTAGTTAAAAATGTTGTCATGCATATTAGCAAGCCTTTATGCCATATATTTAACATGCCACTAACCAAATGAAAGCAAACTGAAACAAGCGAAGGTAACACCAGTATATAAAGGCGGCGACAAGGAGAATATGTCTAATATATTCTCCTAATTTCTGTAATCTCATGCTTTTCGAAAATATTAGAACGTATTGTGTACCAGGTGAACTTTTTAGATAAACATAACTTAATCTACAGAGGTCAATACGGATTCCATAGCAACATTCATCTTCAACGGCATTAACTGACCTTACTGAGGATATAAGTGCGTTTGAGAACAAATCCTATAGGCAAATGGATTTTTTCTAGACTTATCAAAGGCGTTTGATAATATATATCACGATATTATGTTATGTAAGTTGCAATATTACGGAATCTGTCGTGTTGTACATAATTGGTTTACTATGGATATTTAGAAGAGCGTTCTCAATGTACTAAGTCAAATCAACAATGTCAGAATCCAATGACATTTAAAAAACATCAGATAAACTGTCCTTCATACTTTATGCAGAAGACACCAATGTGCTATATTGTAATAAGGATCTGAATATTCTATTTCAAACCATTAATGAGCACCCCCCCCCCTTACGTCTGTGATTGGTTTAAGGCTAATCAGTTGCCACTGAACAACACAAAATGACTAATAATAGGCCCCCTATAAATAACTACATTATTTTTAGCAATAGGAACAAGCCTGCTAATGTACCGTAATCAATTTATATATTGAACTTGATAACGAACATATTTGTAGAGTCTATAAAACGTAATTCCTGGGAGTTTATGTTGTTGATAATCTTGGAATGGAAATATCATATACGTGAAATTGAAGCTAACGTTTCTTAAAATCATAGGTGTAAAAAGTAGAATTAAGCATTTTGTGTCTGTTCTCCAAAATAAAACAAAATTCCTTGGTGTTTATGTTGATAATAATCCTACATGGAAATATATACGTGAAATTTAAAATAAAGTTTTTAAAAGCATATGTGTAATAAGTAGAATTAAGGATTTTCTGTCTGTAAATGTTCTCCACACTTTGTATTGCTCCCTTGTACTTCTCTGTTTCTCATCCTGTAACATTGTTTGGGGGAATTTCAGTCACAGTTCCAGAAGCTGACAATGTCACAAAAGAGGATTATTCGTATAGGCTCAAAATCCCCATAGCCTATAGGTCACACACAGAACCACTTTTTACGGAGTTAAAATTATTGATACTTAAAAATATGAGTTTATCTCAACAATGCTCATTTATATATGACTATATAAATCGAAATATTCCATACCGCTTTTGTAAACTGTTTGAACTCAATAGTAATATTCATGAGTACAAAACAAGGTCTTCCCAAAATATCCATCTTCTAAAATACAGGACTGCTGTCTATCAACAAAGTATCCGTTTTTCCGGGCCTAGGTTTTGGAACATTCCGACTATTAAACATGCTTCAACTAAATCTGTCTTCAAACATATGTTGAAACAGTATTTCATAAAACAATGAATTGGAGAACGTAACAGGGGAAAAAAGATTTTTTAAAAATTACATAAATAAATAAAATAAAAATAAAGGATGCTAAAGGACGTTTTTTTACAGTTGCAATATATTGAATTGACTGTATGTCAGGGAAAATCTTGTTTTGTTCATAGGAAGTTACTCACTTAATTGTCTATTGTTGTAATTGTCTTTTATGCTAGTTTTGAATTAACTGAATTTAACATTTCATTATGTTTTTACCAATCTATAAACATTATTTTTTTCTCAATATTATTCTCATAGATCAATTATTTGACCCTTGATTTTCTATGTTTTTCATTTCTCTTGAATGTACAATGTTTTGTTATATCTGTTATTTTTTAGGGCTTTCCTGCTTCAAGCTTATGAGCTTTTAAAAAAGAATTTAAAATAATTGTGAACAATGGAAATAAATGTACATTGAACTGAATTTAAAAATTGAATTGAATCTTGAGCAGTAATGGCTATAGAAATTGCCGACAGAGGGTCTAACAGGTCCGGGTTTTTTTTTTAACAAAATGTATTGTGAAAATAGTTTACCTGAATGGAAAGTACTGATCCTTGATGTCCCTCAAACGTTTTGTAGATTTCACCCGTATGAATATTCCAACTCTTTATTGTATAGTCCGTACTACCCGTGTACAGGACTGAGCCTGTCGGGTCTGCGTTTACACACAACACTGCTCCTTTGTGCCCCTTGAATGTGGCTAGACAATCCCCGGAGTCCATGCTCCATGATTTGGCTAGACCATCAGCTGCCCCCGTGATCAAAATATCCTTGTTACTTTCTATGTCCACAACGTCATCGCTAAGAGCATCCTCAGCGGGAATGTACATCAGAGGGGTGACACCTCTGCGATGACCTCGAAAAATATGCAATAGCTCACCATCGTCAGGGTCCCAACACATTGCTGTTCTGTCGTAGGAGCTTGTGAAAAGAAAATCACCCGTACAAATCAGACGATTGATGGGGGCTCCATGGCCCTCAATAACTAGCTGGCATTCGCCTGTTTTTACTAACCATTTTCGCGCCGTATAATCCGCGCTGCCTGTATAAGCGGCGTCTTCTAGAATCTGACAACACGTAATATATGATTTGTGGCCTTTAAGTGTATGGTGTAGTTTATCGTAGGTTACTGACCATATACGCTGTCTCTTATACACATCTAGATGTGTATAAGAGACAGATTCTACATTATAAGAAAAAAAAATGAAAAATGTTGATGTCACTGTCATTTGTAGGCATATAATGGGTTATTATTAGAGTAGCAAGGTCGGATTTACGGGGGCGCCCCCCCCCCTTCCCTTTTGAAAAGAAAAAAAAAATGAACCCTTTGATTCGCCTTCTACCCCACCGGTGAAATAACTCCGTGCATAGGCCAGCGCTGGTTATACTAGAACTTCGTTTCGCCCTTTGAAATCTACCAGTATGGGTTCAGTGTGACAGGCTATAACTCAAAACGATTGAAATCATCCATAGCAATATACCGAAACCGCCATTTTTAACAACCAAAGATACAACACTTCAAATATATAAATGTATGTAAAATCCAATCGGACAATTTTTTTTTAATGGTAAACCGTAGAAATTTAAGAAATTTGCAATTATTTCTCCAGCGTCTTTCTTCTAGTTGCGTGCTCCTTGCCGTTTTTACTTGAACGAGAAACAAACACACGTCAGTATTGAAAAGGAGTATCAGTCGATACATCGTCAATCGAATACCATGCCATGACAAACATAAAAGCAAGGATATGAATATGCATGTTCCTGAGCAATAAGACCCGTATGAAGAAATGAAATTAGAAAACGCTCAATAACCAAGAATAATGGATAGAATTCTTCAAGATGTTATCGTCTGAGACTGCCCACGAGGAAAATCGATGGATAAATGATGACGGAAAGCTATAACAAGACGAGTTCATTTCGAGCTGCGTCTAAATAACGAAGCAACAAAGGATGCGAATGAACCCGTAACGGAAGGTACTTATCATAATTATAAATAACCGCGTGTACTCCAGGCGATGATAGAAAGCTGGGATTAACATGTCATATCGATATTTCGATTTTCTCATTCCTAACCACTTAAAAATGAAAGGTTCATCCTCTACATCCCAGTTAACTATAATTAAGCTCTTTTTGTGCAGTTTTTCTATAAGTTGTAATTGATGATTAGTTATAAATCTGCGTTTAATCAATAGCACGTTTATTTCTACCGAAAAGAATCACAGTCCGTGTGCGCCAAACAAAACTCATGGATTTTGAACTGGAAAGCACTTAAAAGATTTCTGGACCTTATGAAATTTTGCAATTGTGTACTTATTAAAGAAAGTGCATCTATTGTGCGTGCAATTAATCATGCATGGAATGTATAGGACTACTTGACGGACAGAGTTCATTTAAAGAAATTGCATCAAATGAACCGGCACGAATGCATTTCACGACTTTACAACATGACCTACATTTCCATCATACAGGATGAGTATGTGAACCGAAACTTAAAATAAGAACATACGAGTTTAATAAATGGCGAAAACGTAAATAAGAACCTCTACTTCTCAACCCTGTTAATTACAGTATGAAATAAATATTATAAAAGAGTAAATTATTGGTTTAATATAATGAAATTTATTGATCATAGTAATGTGAATGGATAGCACATGTAATGGAGTTGATAATTACGTATTGAAATAATGTCAGTGAAATGAATAAATACAAATAAAAAGAATGAATAAGTTTATATAAGGTATTTTTTTTTTATAGGGGTGCACTTGCGAACAGGGGCCACACCGGTTGCGAAAAACACACCCGATGGGCCAATCAATGGTTCGCTGCAACCGAAAGTAAAAACTGAAAAGTGTTTTTTTTTGGAAAGCTTTGTTTTTTGCTTGTTTGGTTTTTTATTTATTTATTTTTTTTAAATATATTTTAATTTTTATCTGAAATGTGAGGTTTGAGGTACTGTAAGTGTTTGTGCGCTCTGCACTTGAAATTTTGAATTGCCACTATAGAAATATTCCCCACTACACCGTCTGGAAGAGAGTTCCAAACCGGGACTGAAGAATGGATGAAGCTTCTATCAAGCGTTCTAGTTTTAGAGTTTGGCAGACGAAGGGCATGACTTGGCATTGCTGTGCTTTTACGCGTAGAACGACGTATTTCGAATGGAGGGGGAAGTAGGACTTGCAAATCTGCTGGACATTTTGATGTGTGCATTTTGTAGAGAACTGCCAAGGCTGCCACTATCCGTCGGTGCTGTAGACTATCAATAGCATACCTGTCTCTGGCGGTGTTTTCATCAATACCAATGATTTTAAGGGCCTTCTTCTGGATGTTATCAAGTTGACGCAGATTAGTAGGCGAGGCATTTATCCAGCATAGACATGCGTATTCCAGTACACTACGGATTTGTGCTTTATAAACAGATGCTCTGCCCTCGGTGTCAAGTTTGGAGGCAACTTTCCGTAGTACACATAGCCTTTGTCCAGCTTTTCTTGCTACTGAAGATAAATGTTTGGTCATTAATAACAGTATAAAGGGATGTTGGTATTTATAGAGTAGGCCTATATATAGTCTAATTAAGTGTTTACATATAAGTGTTTTTTGTATTGTGTGGTTCTCGTCTCTTACCTTTTAAGGACCCCATTGGAATTAAGTCTTAGGACTTTATGGGCGTTCCTGGCATCTTTTCTTCCCTTGTCGTTCTGTCTTCTTTCTTTCTCTTGATTTTTTCTTATTTTTAATGATGACCTGTTTGCTCGTCTTTTTACCTTTTTAATGTTTTAACCTGGTGCTTTTAACTTTTTTTCTTTTGAATTGTATTTTCTTGTTTTTCGATGCCAAATAAAGTCAAGTCAAGTCTATTATTATTATTTTTATTTGTTTTAATTATTATTATCAATATTTCGGTGATAATAAATACCCAGATGATGGTAAATATACACTTCAAGAGGGCGCTGTAACATATTTTCAAGACACGCGCACACCAACACACACACACATATAGCCGTCCACTCCCCAACCCACACACACGTGTGTAGGGGTCTTGTGTTTTGAGTCAACACCTCACTCATTCTACATTATAAGGGAAAAAAAGAAAAAATGTTGATGTCACTGTCATTTGTAGGCATATAATGGGTTATTATTAGAGTAGCAGGGTCGGATTTACGGGGGCGCCCCCCCCCCTTCCTTTTTAAAAAGGGCGCCTAAAAAATAAAAAAAAAAATCGGACCTACTAGGGTGGTGTTATCTCAATCGGCCCACTTCCGGCCCCTTTCGTCCCGCCCCCTTTCGGACATCTTTGGATCCGTCCCTTGGTAGTGGGTCATTATTGAAGATGAACTTCTAATGTAGGTTAATAGCATAGGTCACTAATAGAGTACTGGGTTTCTATTAGAAGTTTTACGGTATACGATAAACATTTAGTGGAGAAACATGAAGCTAGAAACTATAGTTTTATACTATCACTATAATAGTGGCGTAAGCATCTGCACATATCCGGATACACGGGTTCGAATCCTTGTTAAAAAAAAACAAAAAAACAAAAAAAAATTGACAGATATTAGCCACTTACAGTAAATCATGAATTTATTTATAAAATACAATGTACTCACATTTAATGTAATAAGCCTATAAGAAAAATAACTGACGTATGAGACCCTCAGAGTCAACAGCCAAATCATAACTTACTTTATAAGAGTAGGAGCTGTTTAGTCTCATTTTATTGGCTCTTCTTTTTCAATGTTTGCTTTGTGTTGCGCATCGAAATCAGGACACAATTATTATTATTACTAATTTGTTTGCATTGGCATGCCCACATTTTTTCATGTAACGTTTTCAGTTTCAAATAACATTTTATATTATTAATTTTATATCATAAAATTACTCTTTTCCGCAGCGTATTTCTATAGAATGTACTATATATTAGTAATAACAATTTTTTTTATGATTGGCATAGGCCTACCAAATATTTACCATGTGACTTATGTATTTCTTTTATATTGCATTGTAAAATTGAATTGATATTTATACTGTATTACCTGAGAAAAAACTAATTTCATAATATGTACGTTTATGACGAACAAAAATATTTGTTTAGTCTTGAAATATTGAGGGCGACCGATCAATAATTTGGTTCTATAAAATTTATTTCATTCCTACCAAAACTATCTTTAAATGAATAATGAATATCCACTGCTGTTATGGATTCAAATTATGCAATGAAAAAGCAATTTAACTTCCTTAACTATGCATCCATATGTGACCGTTAACAAGATACTCAAAGCATACAATTTATCATCCTATATTGGTTTATAATAGGCCTACTGTATATGATGTTCTCCGTTAGTATAAAAGAGTAAATTTCACTCTAAAAGAGTGCCTACAGGGATCACTCTAATTTCACTATTTCTCGAGTGAAATTTGCTTTTAAAATTATTCTGAAATAATGAAAAAAATTAGTAAAATTAATCCTAAATAAAGTGAAATCTCACTCTCTTTTTTCACTCTATCTCTTTTTTACCTCTATTTGGAGTGATCACGGAAGGCGCTCTTTCACTCTTTTTCACTCTCGTATTTAGAGAGGTACGATTCACATGGATAGCTGTATTCTACCTACCTTCCTAAAATAATTGGCTAAATGCTAATGATTTACTGCAGTCTATAATGATGTGATATCATAACCGCGTTTGCCTTGGTTTGTCGTACGATGCAGAATGCCTGAATGGTGTTAGTGATGTCGTTTAGATTTTAGAATAATCCTATAATATCTTATACACTGTATTGTATATTCATGGTTATTTAAATATGATGATTGTGACTGTATGATTTATACCATACCTCAGATTTCGAATCAAATAATGACGACACAATTATGAATTCGATAATGTCGATCGTGAGGATTAATTGATGACGCCATTATTGATTTTCACCCCTGTCTGGTTCAACTTTCTATAACAAATTAAAAACTGTTGTTGGAAATTTGGGAAGCAGAAATTGTTGGGAATGAATGTTGACAAATTTTTCGGAGATACTCAGTAATACCTTTTGCTCCTCAGAATATTGTCGCCGAATCTGTTAATTCATGCAAAGATCTGTAATCATAGACGTTGATTAGTGGATTTTTATACGCTGTTTAGATTTAAAATGAGTAGTTTATAGAACAAAAATGAAAGGAGTTTACTTGGTGGTGTTGATGGTTGTATCGGTGCTCACATCGTCAGGTAGGTACAACGAAAATTTCTACTATAGTCATTGTATTAATGATAATAATAACATAATGATAATGTAATCATATCTCATTAATATTATTACTTCAGGAGTGAGGTATGCCCAAGTACCAGTTATAGTTAGGCCTAATACATGATAATATCATGTGTAAATCCACGTAATTAAATTAATAATTAAAAATAAGCTTACATCAATAAATGCCAAATAACAATAATGCACGTCAATGTTACTATAGTGCTACATATTTACAAATTAATATATAATAATACAGTGCTCAAATGTTGTTATAAATCGCATACCATATATATATATATATTGTCTCTTATACACATCTAGATGTGTATAAGAGACAGTATATAGCCTATATATTTGGCTCTCTGCTTGAAATAAGGTAACAGTCATTCAAATAGTTTTTATAACTGTCAAACAATCCCAAGGGCTATGACGCAAATGTTAGGATGAAAATGTAGGCCCCTATTAATAAAATATAATTAGTTATTTAGTTTTGAAAACAGTCTTCAAAGTTGGATGGATTGATAAAATCCTGAGTAGGAATCTAGGACATAATATTCTGTAAATTGTATTTGTTAATTTGTCATACCAAGTCACCCCAATTCCCATTACTCATTGCCAGTCACAGTGCATCATACGATGTCCTTAATAATTGTATATATTTTTTTCGAATATAGTTATTGACTGTAATCGACTCACAGACATGCTGTTCCGCGCCCATTTTTCTCGCCATATTGTTTGTCTAGTTAGTGTGGTTCCCTAACTCAAATCGTATTGTCTGAACTAGTGGGCCAGCTCAGTGTCGGTGGCATCAAACTTTTTTTCTGACAGGGGCGCTACGTTATCAGGCGAGGGCGAGGGGGTGTCAGTACATTTCTGATGGAGTCCAGGGATGAAGCCAAAATGGCGGTGGGGAGGGGAGAGGGGCTTAGACCTTCTGTTCAGATACCGAGCAATGTTAAGTTTCTCTGAGACGATGTTTTAAAACGCATTTTACCACACAAAAAATAGTCAACAAATTTGTCTTTTGTTGGTCCGACGAATCGAGTTCAACGGGGAGGGAGGAGGGACTTGGCCTGTCAGACGAGGGGCTTAAGCACTGAATGTCCATCCGACGATAGGCCAGGAAACTGTAACAAAGAAGTTATTGATTGTGCTAAATGATCGGAGAATGTTGTATAGGCCTATTGTTTACCGGTATTCCCTCTTGGTTTACTAAGCCTTTAAGATTTACTGTTTTGAATGATAAATACAAAAAACCAATAAATTACTTACACATCAAAGTGATTTACCATACAAAACTCACCCCTTATTATACACCACAGCGGCCAAGCTTATAACAATCCAGGCCTTTGTGGACAGTCGTACATCGATGCCAGTTTTGATTTTATTGTAATTATTCAATATCTCAAACTAACTTATACAGAAAAACGTAAATAACAAGTAAAATAAATGAACAATCGTTAGACAATATTGGGGGATGGCACGGTACTTATTTCACAGATGTCCCTTAACACTAAACCGGTTACAAATAGAAAAATATAGGTGATATAAAATTATTTTATCTATAAATCATTATTGCATCTTATTTGAAAATGGCTAAAAATTAAAAATAATTTATATATTTTGTTTATTCCATAATCTTCATTCTCTTTACACTTTTTTCTCGCCATATTTAAAATATCTTACTAAAATCAATCAAAAACGTTTTTAAAAAATATGAACCATTTCGAGAATGGGATTAAACCAATGGCAAAAGAGATCACCAGGACCTTTCCTGTCATTCGATACTATTTCTACCCCTCCTGTTATAGGCATACTTCTACACTTTTGGAGTCCTTAGGAGGTCGGCTTTACCCACCAGAACCAGAAACAAAGCAGGAAATATACAAAACGGCAATGAAAAAAAAAAGAAGCTAAAAGTTAAACATCGCCATTAGACTATATGAACTGTACATCCGTAGCAATTTTTTTTCGATATAGTTCAGTGTTATATTATTTAGTGTATTTTTCCAACGTTCCAGACCAAGTAGGCCTATTAGGCCTACAATATTGCAAATTAGTTATGAGCAAACGGCATTATGTATTCTAAAGCCGGGCAAACGTACGACCGTCGGTGGACGAATCCACCTCCGCTCCCTGTGAGCGCTTGACGACGCGACGCGCGCCATCTGCTGATTGTCGCTGGCAGTCTGAGCGCATCGTCATGAAAAGATCCCTTGCGCGCGTTTCGCCGCGTTGCGTTCTCCCAGCGAATCGCATCGGCAGATGCAGGCCTCCGTCCGTCGGCGCAGTATCCGTCTGGTTTTAGGTCTCGTGTCATGGCACGAAGAGAATATTGGTTCAAATCCTTTAATCTAAGCAACACGTCTCAGTTACAACTCCCCCTCTCTCGTATAATTTCTTTGTAAGCTGTGTCGAACTTTTTGTTTTGATGATTCAAACGTTGAGATATAAATGGTTATTTGAACCGTCTGCTCACGGTTCAGACAATGGTTTTACCTACAAGCCGTGCGCCAGTTACTGGATTTAACGTTCAATATTGCGCCCGATTATTATCCATTGCTAATGAGGCGTAATATTGCCAAAGACTTATACAATACATATCAATACTGTATACAATGATTTAGAAGTGGACTGTATTGATTACGCAATAATTTTGTATTATTTTAAAAAGATTATGTGCTTACTTCAAATATGGATGACGCATAGAAATCTATATAGTTCTATACTTTACTGATACTGTATTTGGAACTAATACAGCATATTAATTATTTGTGCAAATACAATGTATTATTATAATTATACATTTAGGCTTATGTTGATATATAATCGGAATGATTATGTATGCTACATATAAATATATTTCATAGCCTATACTCCTGTTTTGAATAGGCCTATATCCATTTATTTTAACTTGTCGTCCAATGATTAATAATTAAGGGCGTATCATATTGATCACTGTTATTTGCGGCAGGGACGTAGCCAGGATTTTGAAAGGGGGAGGGGGTATGCGAGTTAGGTATGGACCCCGGTGTCCAGGGGCGAAGGCCCCTGGGAATTAGTGCACTCTGAACGTTTTTAGGACTGCTTTGAGAGGAAAAAGTGAAAATTGCAATAGTCTTGAATGGGCATGTAAAACCAGATCACATCCTAAAAAAAATGTATGTACCCTACCTCAGCATTTACTAAGACATATAGGCCATGGGCTGGAGGGGGGTCACCGTTTTTTGCGGAATTGGCAGAAATTGACGCAACTAGAGGTCAAAAGGTCATTGACCTACACAGAAAAGTTGTATATTTATTCCCAATTCACTCACAGACGTTTACAAATCTACAGTTTTGAGTAGATTTGATACCAATTAGTATTTTCTATTATTAATAAGCATACAGAATATCAAAAATGATATTAACAAGAAAAATGTATAAATTGATTAAATGTATTACTGTCATTTTTGATTACTTGTGTAATCAATAGCGATGTTTGGGGTAGGGGTTAACATTTAGGTTCATAACTCATGATTTATTGGATAGATTTGCATGATGTTGGTATTAACATGTAGCCTGTAGATTTTCCAGCCATTTAAATTTAAAACGTGTGCAGAAATTGAAGTATCTAAAGGTCAAAAAGTCGTTGACCTCTGTAGAAAAATGCAAATTCTTCCAAAAAACCATGGCAGATATTCTTTATGACAATATATGGAAATATATAGTGGTGAAAATTATGTTAAAAGTTTCCCACACGAATAAAATAAACGACCGGTACTGGATAAAGACAGCTTGGTTTCTTGCTTCAAACAAGGTATCTATTCATAGAAGTCTTATGAAGATGAGCCTATCCAAGTGATGAACCTAAAAGGGTCGGAGACCAGGACATACTGTACATTCGACTTAGATTGACAAAGATTGAAATATGTTAAATACAGACACGATATATACATAGGCCTAGGTCTAGAATCCAGTTAGAATATGTAATTATATATCAACATGGTATATTTATATATATGGGATGTTTTGTTTTGTGTATTTTCATATAGGGTTCTAATCTATACGGTACAACCTGTACCCTGATTTCTAAGTCGATTAGAGTTATTCACGCTATTTTATTTTATGCATCCAATAGAAAGCTCAATATTTAAAAACAAGAATATTTGGTCATTAACATCAAGAAACAATATCGGAAACATATACAACTTTTTTTGTTTTAATTACATATATTTTGATTTAATATCATGAGTGAATTATTATTTGCATTGCAAATTATTGTTATAAATTACGGTAGTTATTATTCAACTGTAACTCATTCTTAGGCCAATTACAAATATCCTATGTCATCATTATACGGAAACATGCCAAAAACCCGCGGAAAATTCCAGGTTTTTGGTTGATGTCCACTGAATAGCAGACACCTATTCAGAAAAAACACCTGTAAGACCACAATTTTTTTGGTCCTTTAATAGGGGTTTTACTGTATATACTGTGCTTATAGTATCTATATTAATTCATAATATTTAAGTCAGCAATAGTATATAGAAAACAACGCTTTATATACATATGTATATGCATATGTATAACTTATACCTGTACATAATAGGCCTATATATCGGTAACATTATAAGATTATATACATACATACATGCATTATTTATATTATATGATCATCTATTTTAACATATTGGGGTTTTTCTCTTATTCGTCTGCAAACAGTATTAGCTGATGTCACCTGTAATTTTGGTACCGACGAATGTGGGTACACGAATGATGCGACAGCGGATGTTGATTGGCTTAGAAGCTTTGGAATAACTGCCCTCAGATTCAATGGACTGGAAACGGGTCCGCTCAATGACCATACCATTACCGTTGATATAAGTAAGTATCCGATACAGTGTGCTATGAACTCTCATAAGCTAAAGTCAGGGGCCCCAACAACAATCCAGTATGCTTTCACATGACATCGCTTGCATTGGGGTGATGTGGTGTTTGATATTTGATTTTCACGAATTTAACATCATAGGTAATTTTGGGTTCACAATTACTTGCCAATGAACGTGCAAAGATCTTTAGCACTGACACCATGATTGAGATATAGGCTAGCGCAAAGACCATTTAACTCACGCATACTCTAACGCGCGCG